TCTATATATTATTGCTATCATATCCAAGACTCTGAAATCCTCTTCACACGAGTTTCTGATCAGTCCAGCACCCTGGTGCTTACATATGGATGGAGGTCCCAGAATCTTAAGATCTAGCCCATCAGTCTTGCCTGTTCTTTGGGATCCTGAATTTGTCATGTAACCTATTGTCAGCCCCAGGACATCTGAAATTGTCTTCAGTGTGCCTTCTGTTCCTTATTCCTGAAAAGTATGAACAAGTGAGTTCAAGGAAAGAGACATGCAGTTTGATCCTGACCTCCCTTCCAAATACACATTGATCTTTTTTATTTTATTTTACTTTTTTATTTGTAGTTGGGCACAATACCTTTATTTTATTTATTTATTTTTATGTGGTGCTCAGGATTGAGCACCACAGTACCTAGTACCTCACATACTCTACCTACTCTACCTAGTACCTCACATACTCTAGGTACCACAGCACCTAGTACCTCACATACTCTACCACTGAGCCACAACCCCAGCCCCAAAATATGCATAGGTATTGTAATCAATGCTCTTGATCCATACTTTTCCGGTATTCTTAAGGGACATGTTGTTACAAAACATGAAAAACTTGTTTATTTCTATGTAAACCATGCTTCCTGCACAAACCTGTAGTTGAATATGTCCTAGCAAAAATTATGATCAATTAATATTATGGCATATGTCTACAGAATGATAGTTTGTAAAAATTTTGTGAGAAAATGAAGCTATTTTACATAGTAAGATGAATTTATAATTACAGTGATAAGTTTAAAAAGCTTACACACTTGTTTCTCTATAGCATTAACCTGGACAGCTTTTCTTTCTTTTAAAAGGACACAGAACAGCAGATGAAAACTTAGCATTGGTCCTGACAATCCTGATATGAACAGCTTCAAATCCATCAGATCATAACTGTTAGATCGGATGGAGAACCACACTGCCTGCCTGCAGGAGAAGGAGGGATGGATCGCCGGACTTCAGTAAGGTGCGTGAGTGTGGCTGGTCTTCTAGACGATGTGCATATTAAGGACACTTGTTGGCCCGAAGGCTTTCAATGCTATAAAGACAGGCAGGATACCCACGGTGTGGAGGCTCAGTTCTAATATGGCCTCCAGGAGTCCCACCCTTGTCCACGTGCCTGAGAGACAGGAAGCACCATGGAAGGGGCAGAAGCTGGAACAGTGAAATGACCCCTCAGGCCTCAGAGACTGTTGCCTGGGAAGCAGGGCGTGTGGCTTCTCTCCTCCTGAGCTCCTTTCAATAGACCCACGGTGAGAGCCTGATAAAACCCAGTAGAAAAGGTTTTCACAAGATCAAATTGTTATGGGAAAACTCTAAATAACCTTCTAGCTTCACTTAATCAACTTAAAAGTCATTCATTTTGGAAGTCACACCTTGGAACCATGTGCTGTAGTCTCCTGCTGGCTTTGCTATAAAGGACGCCTCTGACGGTGAGCTACAGTCATAGTGACTGAGGCCGGTTGCAGGGACTTGAAGCCCCCTTTTGCTGAAACCACTGACTCTTCACTTGGGCCCACAGAATCTGATGGTGAATGAATGGGGTCTCTGTCCTCATGTCTGTCCCCTTTGCTGCCTTGCCTTTGGGGTGGGAGTCTGCTCATGCTGACATGGTGACTGCCCACGGAGCGGGTACCTGTTTTCTTCTACTTTCACTCCATGCTTTTCCGGCAGCATCAGCAGCCCAAGCATCCAAAGTCCTTCAGCCCTGTCATCAGGTCCCAGATGGAGCCACAAGGCCAGGAAGTCTGCACATTGACGGCACCAGTAACAAGAGTGACCACCAGCTGGTCCAGGTCTCAAGCAAGAAACATCTTTTGGAATTACGCCATTGACCAGGGGAGATTATAGGACTCTTGCCCACTCCAGCAAGACAACAGAAGCTTGCATCTCCCTTTGTTCAGAGAGCAGCCTGGGCTCTTGGTCAGTGCTGTCTCCCTCTAGCTGAAGCCCTAATTGAAGCTTTGCCTGTGTGTACTCACAATAGTTGGCTAGGCTTCATTTCTATTGTTTCAAAGCAAATCATCCCATCCCCAGTATCACTAGTGTGAGCAGACCCTGTGATTATGATGAGCCACGAATCCTGTGATTAAGTTACATTCTATGGCAGTAAGGATTTCACAAACTAAAAAAAAAAAAAAAAAAAAAAAAAAAAAGGATGATTTTCTTGGGTGGGTCTATCCTAATCAGGTGAACCCTCAACCAGTCAGAGAGACTCAAAGTAGGAGTCTCCCTCTGTCCTTGAGTGTGTAAATGACCTTGTGTGGACAAGGCCATGTGGCAGGGACCCTGGATGATCTCTAAAAATTAAAAATAGTCCCTGACTGTCCAGTAAGGACATAGGAGTTCAGTCTTACAATGGCAGAGAACTCATTTCCACCAAGAACCAGAAAGGACCCTGAACTTCTGGTGAGTTTACAGCCCCCAGCTAATTCCTTGATTTAGCCTGATGGGACTGAACCACCCACACACACCTGGACTCTTGGTCCCTAGAAACTGTAATGGTACATTGTGTCAGCTGCCAATTGTGTGGTTATGTGTCATGCACCATGAACAGCTGATTGCACAGGGAGAAGTTAGCACTGGTGAGGACAGTTGCTCATAGGTGGCACTACTTGCGACAACTCTTTCAGGGTAAGATGGTTTTCTTAGTGGCTGATTTTAATTTGGCTACAGAAAAAACAGTCCTGGATTTCGTACTCAACATTCCATGAGGAGACTCGGGCTTTCTTTGCTTCTAAGACAGGGGTTCTCAAACATCAGTGCACATCAGAATTACTTATAAGGTTTATTAATGCCATGGTGGGCCCCACCCTAGAACCTCTTTCAGCAGGCTTTGGTCAGTTCCTGGAAATTCACTTGTCTTACAGGTGCTAGGTGTTGCTGATACACTGGCCCAGGCTCCTCTGTGTAAACCACTGCGGTACTACAAAAGAGAGGTGCTGGCCATTTTGAATACTGATTTCTATATCCAATATTGCTCATTTAATGGGAAAATGACAAGATTTTTGAAATCAAAGTTAAAGTGCAGAACTTGATATACCTTTGAACCGTCCAAAGCACTTCTTATTCTCCATCTGTCATAATTTTATTTGGGTGGAGTGATAACAGACTAATTAAACCAAGTTTTTAAAACCTTAGGCTGTTCCCTTTCTGCAGGGGAAGGGTCTGTTCAGGGATCCACAGGACATCCATGATCTCCTGCTTCCCATCAATTCCCAGCTCACAAGCATTAGCAACTGGTGCTGCACCTGCCATCTGAGTAGCTGCCCCAGGCCCTTGCAACCAGCAGGCAGGTACTTCAACTGTGCAGAGGCACTTGGAAGAAGCAGAGGACCAGCCGAGCCAGTCCTGACAAGTCACACTCATCCTCAACCCACACCAAATGTAACAAGGGCATCAGACGGGGAGTGACGGTGAGGCCTTGACTGAGGTTTGGGTATTTCTCCAAGTACGAAACCCCAAAGACTGTTTAAGGCAAGAAGAGAAGACAGAGCTCTGCCAGCAGGAGTGGGGTTGTGCAGGGACTGTGATCATCAACAAGGAGGAGCCAGGAACTGGGGAGAAGCCTAGAGAGAGGAAGGATCATGTAATTGTGAAATTGATCCAGGGGGGCTTTGGAATATGATCGTGACAGGAGCAGAGCACCACCATTATTTCAAGACAACTTAAGAATCATTTATTTGGGGGAACTCAGTATTATCATGTTATCCTCAAATTATCCCAGTTGCTCACGCTTGTGGCTAATAACTGAATTTGAGGGAGGGGTTTTGAGAAATCTAACTTAAAACATCTGTTAGAACTGAATATGATAATCATGTCTTGTTTTTATTATTTTGCTCATATTACAGTCTTGAAAGGGAGAATTGAATGATTAGCCAAGCAAACTTGTATTTCACACATGCAGAACGTAGGTGAGCCTTGCATTTGCATTCCAAAATAGAAACAAATGCTCTTTTCCATTAGGACTGTCTGCTTTTCCTCATTGTGTCCTAAGGAGATGCAGGCCTTCTGTGGGCCTTTCCCAAGCTGCTGCAGAATGATTGATGGTTGGGCTCCTTTCCATCCAAATAATGAGGGATGTCTGAAGCTTTGGTAATCGTACCCTACTGAGTTTCAAGACCATTGCCAAAATATGCACAGCACAGAGGTTTGGCAAGTTTGTTTAATCATAGCAAAAGGATTACAAAGTGCAAAACAAGCCCTGAAACCGCTATAAAATGGCCAATTTAAACTGACTCAGGCTAAGAAGGTACACAGGCTTGCTCCTTTTTACAGGTGACTTGCCTCTCCTCTCCAGAATCACCTTCACCTTGGCCAAGGTGGGCCGCACTTGTGTCACAAAGAGAAGGTGTTCAAAGAAATCGAGTTTGGATCACAGAAACAGGATGTGAGAGGAGGGCTGGGAAGGTCAGGCCCAGGGCTGGGGAATCACAAACCACAGTGCCTGACTATTCTGGCATGGAAGGATCAGAGCACTCGTCTAGTTGATGAGGACCCCAGAAAGAAGCTACATGGCAAACTTAGAAGCTGTCCCTGAAGTGAAAAACTGCAGCTGTCCATGATGATTCACTGACCAATGGTAACAACAGCTTTTGTTCACAGGAGTGGCTTGTTCACCATTCTGCAAATGTTTTATGATCATAGCAGAAACTAGGGTGATTTGTGGCCAGTGCTGCCCTGGAATTTCTCAACTATAGCCTCAGTTTCAGAGGCCTCTTTCCCTTCTAGGTGTACATGTGGAGGTTTCATGGTGAAGCTTTGGGCCCTTCTGTTGCAGATGATGCTGAGAATCAAGGTGGAGGCAAGAGGGTCGGGAGGGGTACACATCACCTGTCCAACATCCTATCTGCTTGGCCCCCACTGGCATCAGTTCCTGGACAAAGTAAAATTGTAACACAAAACCCACAACACTCAGCACAAGTTTCTATTAGGCAACTTTCGTCACTAAAAAAGTGCAGATGCAGACTCCTGTGTAAATCTGATTTGCCATGCTAGGCCAAGCTTATTTTATTACATACATTCTGCATTCTAAGAACTAATAACTTCATATTGTAAACATTAAGCATACAGAGTTAAAGTTCAAGGCCACATTATATCATTGATTGTCTCTTTTTTTGTGTGTCATGTGTCTTTGGCTGGCCGAGATCAACTCGTAGTGTATAAATGCATAAGTTATATAATTATTATATAAAAAGGAAAAAAAACTGACTTGTATACTTCATTCTGACAAACGCACAGCGTTCGCGACTCAAAAAGGAAAACTGGACCCCCACCTCCCCAAAATGCCTTTGAGATCTGATTGTGGTGGCCAGAGGCCAACTCTTACCTGACCCTGTGGGGCACAAGGCCCCTACAGAATGCTGAGGTCCTGAACGTGTCTTTTAAATATCAGACAATTCCAGTTAAATTTTTCTTTTGACAAACAAAGAGATGGCTCTTTTGGTTCTTAATTCTACCACTCCCCCCTCCTCCATTACACTGGGTCCTTTCTGGTAACACTGGGTTTGGTATAACACTGACTGCATTAAACCTCAGGTCTCCACGAATAATCTTTCTCCACCAAAAGTGTCCTAAATCCAGTCTTTGCTGCTTGAAAAGTCTCTTCCACTCCTCCTCTCCTCCTCCTCTGCTTCCTCCTCGTCCTCCTCCTCCAGCCCTCTGTCTACCATAACACGCCCACTCAATACACATCCGCAGTCCCACCATTTGGCTCATAGTTCCTGCAATCCTGTAAAGGAGATGGAAACTTTGGGTTGTCTTCACAGTTTGAGAGAGCTGACAGCTGTCTGTCAAATGGAACGAATCGGATTCCAGCTGACGCAGCAAATGCCGAGGAGCCCCGGCCATGTCTGTTGCGGGGCCACAGTCTCTCTCGTCTTCTTGTTTTGGCTTTGATATGTTTCTATTTTAAATACAGGTAGTTTTCCTTAAAATGACATTATAAACGGTAGGTTAGGCCAAGACTGTGTTATCTCTATTGCTTTAGTTTAAACCTGGGTTGCATGAGCGGGATCCCACACTCTACAGTTCATACACTACTTAAGGCCACTTCCTTTGGCACTTGTCCTCAGGACTTCCTGCTTGCTGCACACAATGTCTTTGTCACGGTTGGTCCCACAGATCCTACATCCATATGCATTACACTTTGAGCATCTTATTTCTGTAGTAATACTTTAGAAACTCCCTCCCGCCATGAGTCTTTGGGTCTCTTCCCTGGCTCCCTTCCCCAGCCCATCAAGCTTCTTCCTCCTGCGTGAGGCACTTCTAATTCATGTTCTCCGACAGAGTTTGTGGCAATTGATCGGCGATTGTACACTGTTGGGAAAGGCCTCCATCGAGGGGTTAGTAGTAAGTGCCCAGGTGGGAAGGCATGTGGCCGGTGGGCAGCCTGGTGTTCGGGTATATGCCCCCAGTGGGTGAATTCCAGTAGGGGTTTGGGGCAGCAAAGAAACTGGAGGATGTGACTGGGAGGGCTGGAGGGTGGGGCGCCACAAAGTTCATCTTCTGAGGGTGGGCGTGGTAGGAGCCCATGTAGGGGAGGTCTGAGGGGTACTTGTACAGAGAGGATTCTGGCGGGTGGGGCTGGAGGGCCTGGGCGATCCCGTGGAAGTCGAACTTGTAGGCGTAGCGCTTCCCGTGGACCTTGGTCATGATGTTCTTGTCGTAGTAGTAACGGAGGGCGCGGCTGAGTTTATCGTAGTTCATGTTGGGTTTGCTTTTCCGCTCTCCCCAGCGCCGGGCCACCTCGTCGGGGTCTGTCATCTTGAACTCCCCGTTGGTGCCTTCCCAGGTGATGCAGTTGGAGTTGGAGCTGTCAGACAGGAGCTCCAGGAGAAACTGCCAGAGCTGGATCTGGCCACTACCTAGTGAGGAGGAAGGACAGAAAGCGCCAGTGAGAACAGGCTCTGAGCGGTGGGCACCTGGCCCGGGAGAGCAGCTGGCACTCTTCCCATGCCACCCAGATGCCCTGGGCCAAAGCCTTCCCCCATCCTTCAGCAGCTGGAGTATTCCTGCTCTTGTCCTGTGGTCACCCACTGCTCCAGAGAGATGGCCTGGATGGACAGGGGCTGCTCATCTCCCCAGGTGTCCCCTGGTCAGAATGACCCAGGAACTACGGGACAGCCCTTGGCCTCAAGAAAGGACCTACATTGTAGGTCTGCTCCCTACTCCCACAGGACCAGGTGGACGCTAGGGTCCAGATTCAAGGAGGCTTTAAGAAATCTGGAACCTCCTTAGTCTCCACGCCGCCCCACACTGCTTCCTCAGCCTTCCCTGTTGAGAACACGCCTTTGACCATGACTTGCCCAGTAGCCTCATCCCCTGCTCGACACCTAGGAAGCTGACCTTGGTCATTCTCAGGCTCATCTGAGAGATCCAAGTCCCCTATGGAATGCAGGAAATTCACATGGGGCCAAGCTCAGGCTGGTTCCATCCATTTCTGACTTCCTTCAGAGAGGAGCCAGGTCAGCCTGGTGTTTGGGGGGTGGAAAAGCTAAATTTTCCTATTTTCTAAGGCAGAGAATGCCATTCTGTGGATGGTCATAATGACTTAATACTATTTATATTGGCTAGGTCAAGTGAAATAATAAAAGTCAGATTTCGGAAATGAACATCTAAATGTTTATGGAAAAAAATAGAGAATGGAAGTAAACACTGTTATTTCTGACAAAACATTTTGCTGGTGCCCAGAAAGCAATTCTGTCAAAACTTTTCCTAACACAGAATTAACCCACTCAAAATGAGGAAGTTCAGAAAAACGTTGGCTCCATTTCAAACCAGATCACCCATTTCCAGTACAGAGGCCAGCACAGGGCAACGGAAATCCACGTGCGGCCCTGCTGGCCACACCGACTGTGAAGCAGTGTTCCCGAGAGAAACCCCCCAACGTTACACCGCGGCAAGTCCTTCTGGGCAGCAAAGGAGACCGGCCCAGAGAGCTGCCACTCAGCTGCGAGGACAAAGTCGGGATTCTCTCCATCTATCGCAAGCACATAGAGATGGCCTTTGGTTTTCTTAAATCAGAGAAATTCCTGGCCCTGTCGTTCTGACCACCCTGCTACAGTGCTTTAAGTCCACTCACGGCTCCCCAAGGAGGGGTGATGTGAGTACCGACAGCCATCACGAGCCCAGAGAAGCTGAGCCATGTGGCACAGGCTTTAGAAGCTTTAAAATGGATGAGAGGTGGGTCTTCTCAAAACCCCACTACAGAATTATCTTGGGCTTAATGCCAAAAAAAATTACCTTCTTTAATATGATAAATAGGATCAATAGATGTGATAAAATGATTAAAATAACTTCAACTGGGAACTACTCAGGGAATTGATGTCATGTGAAAATCAATGATAATTTTTTTCCCCATAAATTCTTCCCACTGGCTCCCTATATAATTGTGCAACTCATAAATCCTTGTTTCCACTTTGGCTACATGGAAGTGAATGTTTGTGAACTCATCCTTACTATAGCATCGTGAGAAAGGTCAGCTTTTAAATATATATATATTCTGGAAAAGATGGTCTTTAGCCTGCAGTACATTTGAAACATATTAACAGCTTGTAGCTCATCGCAATGGAAGTCTTTGCTTTTTCGGAACTACATATACAAACTGTTCCCAATCAAGTTGTGTTCCTTCCAACATTTCATTAATATGCATTTTTAAAATACAAAGAATGGTATGAGAGAACCATATGGTTTTAGTATATATATTGTAACCAAAGGATTAAAACTCGAAAAAAGAATTCCATAGTTGACCTGGGAATAGGAAAAACCATGGATGTTTGATTTAACAGTCTAACATATGCTTCACTATAAACATATACAGTTGTTTGAAAATAAATATTCAGTGTCAACTTGCTCCCATAGAGCAGCTCCACAGATTTGCCTACACAGCTCAAAGAGCACTTGGTGTCTGTTCAAGCATTGTCGTCACCTCTAAGAAATGTGTCCCTCACCCACTGCCCCCACCAACATGATGGGAGGGAACCAGTGGGGGATGGTGGGCTCATACCTCTCCTGCCTCTGAGGAGCTAGAGAGTGGGGGACTACATCCAGGGCAGGAAACTCAAGCTGGGCAGACAGGCGTGCCAACGGCCTGCTAGGCCACTTCACCCACTGACTGGCAAGGCACAGGGGTCAGGCCTGGGAGCACCCCAAGGCTCTGTGGAACCAGGAGATAGGGGGCAAGATTCAGCAGCTTCCAAACCTGAGAATTAAACTACACATGTAAAACTCAGTGCAAGTTTGAGTGAACAACATAGAATTTAACACGCTATCAGCCTCATTAATTGCTAAATTTAACACTGCGAACCAAATGCTTTGCGTTTCCAGTGCAAGCCACGAGGGCTCTCACTGTGTGAGAACTCTCAAGGACACACAGTGGTAGGTGAGAAGTCACTGTTACTCTTGGCCACAGAATTTCAAAAATTTCAAAAGCACCTTAATAAGTCTTATTTTACTGCTAAAACAATAATGATGTGTGATGAGGTGCATTTTGTGATATGGAATAGAATTCTTTAAAAAAAATAGCATTTAGAGAAAACCAAAAGTGGCTTGGGTCACACACTGGCTATGCCAACAAGGAAAAAGATAAAAGGATTTTTCATGTGACAGCATTGCCACCCCCCTGGAGAATCACCTATCTGGTAAAAAGCCCTCCAGACCTCCCTTCTCACCCTGTCTTGCTGACTTCTGTCCAACATCAGCAAGGAGGAACCAGTTCTGTCCTCAGGCACTAAACTAAAAAAACTCAGAGTTGGGAAAAGACTGGCATGTGCCAGAGAAAAGGTGGCACGTGCCACCCAGCTACAGGGTGAAAGAGTTGAAGTGTAGCTTTAGGAGTTTGGAAGGCCACCCCTTCCACTGGTGGGAGAAGAGCTGTCTCCCAATAGTCAAGAAAAAGAGGAACATCCTAGCAACGAAGTAGAAACTTAGCAAAAAGGGCAAGGCACTAAACAGTCCCCAAAACACAGCGAGGCAGAGTGTTGCAGGTGGACACTGTCCCACTGTCCCACTGAGGCCTACAGCCCTCCGCTGACCAGAACCAAGGGCATAAAGAAAGCGAACAGCATGCCCCAAGGTGGCAGTGGTCTGGGGCCACTTTTTATAGAAGGTGGAGGTGGCGCAGAGAAGCACAGCACAGCTGGACCCTCTGCATGGAGGCAGGGGTGTCCCCCTGGGAGCCCCTTCCCTGAGCCCTAGAGCTGGACGGCAGGTGAGCATGTGCGGGCCTGGGCTGCTCAATCTTGGCTCTGCTGCTCATGGGACTCGGGGGAACTCCCCAGCTCTCCGCACCTCAGTTGTCTCTTCTGCAAAGTGGGTGGGACAGCAGTAGGCCCACTTTGCAGGTCACTGTAAGAATGAACTCAGTTCAGGGATCTCGTTATGATTGTCTGGGCTGTGCTGCGCCCCTCCCCTGACTCAGGCAATGGCAAGGCCCTACTGAGGTGGATGGCGCAAGGCGTCCATCCTCTGGAGGAGCGCAGTATGTTTCTGGGAATGGGCTGGTTTGTTTTTGTATTCCTTTAATAAGTATAGTTGCAATTTCTCATATGACCATTAAGTATGAAGGAAAAATCATGACTTTCCCAATTAATGCAA